TCTCGTGCTTGTCTGATAGTCCATATTTATGCAGTTTGTAACATAATTAACCCCATGCATTCATTATTTGCTACTGCAGTTCATATACATGTCATAATATCTTTGTTTTAGATTGTTAGATATAAACAGAAAGTTAATTGCTTCAGTTCACTTTATATTGTCTGTCCTTGAAGGTACTTCAATTCTAGTATCAAGATTTTAAGAAAAAGCTCTCAAAATAATCTTAAGGCTCCATTAAGGTCTGGATAGTATCAAGAAATCAAATCAATTTAGTACTTAATAAAATGCTCCGCAGGGCGCAGCTTGATACGACCGCAGAGGTCGAACCCTGAACAGTTGGGGCAAGTATGGACACAACATTCAAGCTTGATACAGCTTTGCATTTGGATTGTGATTAAATATTTGACACAGCATAGGTTTCTGACACAGAATGAATGTGGTCTATGACTTAAAAATTTTAAATTGGACATTCACCTATTATGGTCCAATATCCAAAATCTAAATACATGGTTAGATTCAGCATATCAAAGATCCCCAAGAATTCAATTTTTTATGAAATCAAACAAAGTTTAATTTTGGACCCTTTTGACCTCAATGTGGACAAAGTTGATAACAGGGCCCAAAAATCAAAAATCTAAATACATGGTTAGATTCAGCATATCAAAGAACCCCATATATTCAATTTTTGTTGAAATCAAACAAAGTTTAATTTTGGACCCTGATTTGGACCAACTTGAAAACTGGGCCCATAATCAAAAATCTAAATACATGTTTAGATTCAGCATATCAAAGAACCCTAAGAATTCAATTTTTGTTAAAATCAAACTAAGTTCAATTTTGGACCCTTTGGACCTTAATGTAGACCAATTTGAAAACGGAACCAAAAATTAAGAATCTAAATACACGGTTAGATTCGGCATATCAAAGAACCCCAATAATTCAATTTTTGATGAAATCAAACAAAGTTTTATTTTGGACCCTTTGGACCTCAATGTGGACCAGTTTAAAAACAGGGCCCAAAATCCAAAAACTAAATACACGGTTAGATTCAGCAAATTAAAGAACCCCAAGAATTCAAGAATAAAACCCCATTGAAATTGGTCAAGAAATAAGCAATTTATACGAAGTATCTTCTTTTGCACAATACTGTGCAATTAAGTATTTCTTGCTATTGCGCAATACTGAACAATTGACAATTTCTTGCTATTGCGCAATATTGTGCTATTGGATATTTCTTGCTATTGCGCAATACTGTGCAATTGAAGATTTCTTGCTATTGCGCAATACTGTGCAATTGAAGATTTCTTGCTATTGTGCAATACTGTGCAATTGAAAATTTCTTGCTATTGCACAATACTTATTATATAATTATTTACACATCCTGTTTGGTGTGTATCTCCTACCATATCATTATTGTTTGCTTTTGAATATAAATCAGAAATAACCAACTTAAAATGGAAAATTTTAAAAGAAAAAAAAAAAGGAAAAAAAGAAAAAAAAGGAAGAAAAAAAAAATCCCCCAAATTTTTTGAACCCCCTTATGATTCATCACCCCAAAACTCAATCACAGCCTTCCCTTTGTGGTATGGTACCTTGCAGTACAATTTCAGAGAGATCCATACACTTGAACACAAGTTATTGTCTGGAAACTAGAAAAATGTGATTTTTGGCCCCAAATTCCTAAACGTTTAGGGCAATTACCCCCAAAAACAAACCCAGCTTTCCCTTTGTGATATGGAACCTTGTAGTACAATTTCAGAAAGATCCATACACTTACACACAAGTTATTGTCCTGAAACTAGAAAAATGCTTGTTTTTTGCCCCTTTTTGGCCCCTAATTCCTAAAATATTGAGGCAATTACCCCCATCATCAATCCCAGCCTTCCCTTTGTGGTATGGTACCTTGCAGTACAATTTCAGAGAGATCCATACACTTGAACACAAGTTATTATCTGGAAACTAGAAAAATGCTTATTTTTGGCCCCTTTTTGGCCCCCAATTCCTAAACTTTTCGGCAATTACCCCCAAACTCAATTCCAGCTTTCCCTTTGTGATATGGAACCTTGTAGTACAATTTCAGAAAGATCCATACACTTACACACAAGTTATTGTCATGAAACTATAAAAATGCTTGTTTTTTGCCCCTTTTTTGGCCCCTAATTCCCAAAAATTTTGAGGCAATTACCCCCAAAATCAATCCCAGCATTCCTTTGGTGATATGGAACCTTGTGGTACAATGTCAGAGAGATCCATACACCAACACACAAGTTATGTCTGGAAGTTACAAAAATGCTTATTTTTGGCCCCTTTTTGGCCCCTAATTCCTTTACTGTTGGTACCATAATCCCCAAAATCAATACCAACCTTCCTTTTGTGGTATTGAACCTTATGGTAAAATTTCATAGAGATCCATTCACTTAAACTAAAGTTAGAGTGCGAAAACCAATGTGTCTTCGGACGATGCCGGACGACGACGACGCCAACGTCATACCAATATACGACCACAAAAATTTGTTTGCGGTCGTATAAAAATCATTAATGAGCTGTGATATTACAGTATCTTAATGATTTAGATATTGCAAAAAAATAAAATGACACATGAATAGACATTTTTTACATATGTTTCTTTGGTTTATCTTTTTTGTCATGGTGTGAAATGTAACATAGACCTGTGTACTATCAGGATTTAACAAATGGCCTATTAACATTTTTGTTCATAATCGCCATATTCTTATGACCATTTTTATATTTTAATATATATTACAATAGACAGAATGAAGTTTCTCCAACATTCTTGACTAATTTTAAGAGATATTGTTTAATTGCAATCATTTAGCTACAGTTTGAAAGAAAAAATATCTATTTACCAACAACATTTTATAGGTTGCACTTTGTAAATATAGCTGATTTACAAACCACACCTATTTTGGGGAATAATTTAATCTTCATTAATATCTTGTTTTGTTTACCTACTGGTTCCCAGATATGATCATCTTTTTTCATTTCATAGAGATACAACCTTGGAATTTTACCAGTATCTGGATTGCTGACTCTAATTTAAGGGAGGGTAGTACAAAGTCTTAGTGAAAGCTTAAACACTAAGGATTTGGAGGCCTATAAATGTTGAAAATATGTCACACAACCCAATCTTTTGATCTTTTAAAAAAAAAAAGTAGAGAATGTGAACTTTTTATTCCAGAAATATTTTTTCCAGCCCTTCATAGTTAAAGAGGGGCAGTATTAGAGGATAAATGAGGTTCCTATGGAAAAATGCATTTTGTGATTTACAACAGTGCAACCTATAGGGAGAAGATGCATCTGGCAAGTATTGTGGTGGTGTTAAATACACTGACCAATAATTGCAGCATTTTCACCACCATATATATATATATATTCCAGACCATATGTGTATGTCCTTGAACGGTACGCATAATGTCCACCATACATTTTTTCTCTCTCTCAGAAATATACATATAGTCCAACCGACTGTACATGCATGGGCTGGGTAGGTCTTGCACCTTTTTATAGACAATAATCAAATCGTAACTTTTGAAAAAGTGTGGTACTATTTTGACAAAGTTTCATTTTTTTCAGTTCAACTGAAGTAATTTTATCCAGTAAAATTTCACTTACAACACTTTTATAAATTAAAAAAAAGTATTTCTTTCCAAAAAGTTAAACGATAGAAGTTGAATAATTAAGTAATAGATGCTTGGAAAATACTTTTTTAAAACAATGGCATGATAGAGATGTTTTAACAAAACAATAGTGTAAGATACTCAGATAACACAACAACTGTTCTACAGCTATTTTCAAATTTGAATTTGCCTTTTCCTTTTGCATTTTGTGGACAAAAACACAGCCAGAAACACCAAGAGAGATGACAGACGAAGAAAAATTAGCAAATAATTGACCTTATCATATATTTCTGATAGTTTCCCCCACCTATTCACATATTTTCAATCTGGAAAATGTGACCTATTCCAGCGGCACATCCTATCACCTTGTATATAGGAAGTAACCCCCACCCCTTTCTGAGTAGCTACATGTAGATAAGTTTTAAAGAATATCTGTTGAAACACTCTTAGGTAAAAGAGTCACCGTAAAAGTTCTACAGTATAAACCACACTTGATAAGTATTAGATACAGCACAAGGACGTTAGCTGGAGTATGTTGAATTTACAACCCAAGATATTATGAGCAATGGAGGGACAGACCAGAAAACATAATGCCCCTCTGGGGGTGGGGGGGATATAAAATGATATATTTCTATAATTAAGAAGGGGGTCTTTCAGCAATTTTACATTAAATAATGGGAAAGCATGATAAATGCAGGGTATCCAATTACATATAATGACATTCTGGTGAAAATACAATGTACTATATAAATACATCAGATATCATAACAGTTCTACGTGTAATGAGGTAAGCTGTGATATCTTATCAAACCACTTACATTTATTATTTCTTTTATGTCTTTGGTTAAGTTATATGATAATGGTTCATTTTTTACATGTAAGCCTGTAGCAATTATCTTTATTACCTCTACCAAAAAAAATCTTTTAATATTTATTACTGCTACTGCAATAAATTACATGTAATGGGTTGCAAACTGCTTGTCGCTAAACAATGATATGATCAGAAATTACATACAAAAGTACTGATAAAATAATTACATGGAATCTGGTGTTGCATATGTAATGATTTGTACTGTATTTAAAATAACCCACTGGTTATGTATTTTAAATATAACTTGCACTGACCATGTATTAAATATACATGTGTTCGCTTTTAACAAATGATATTCCTAGTAGCTTATTGGAGGCAAGATAAATGCCTTTTCCTACCTCTTAATTTAATGAGTAATTTCAAACTCTTTCCAAACATAAAATTTTACTGGAACCTTTACTTCCAAGTTGATAGAGATGCAAAATTCAAAAAATCCCCTTTTACCTCCAATCAATCTGATAAAGACTGACATACAGGGGTTGGTGACTTACCTCTGTCCACCACTCAATTCACTGAGAGATTCTTTCCACACATCACCAAATCCAACTTTGACCTCTAACCCATCTAATACAGATTGACCTTCAGGGGGAGATAACTTGGCTCTGGCACCAGGCAGCAATGTAGAGAAAATTGAACTAAAATCCTGTTAAATATAAGCAAATACATTCATACATAATAATAAAAAAAAATATGATGTCCTGATTTGTATATCTAATAGAAATAAGCATTCAGAGAGTATTGCCCCATATGCCATTAACATTTTAAGTTGTTCACATTGAGATGGTGGTAATTTTACACTTGAAAAAAAATATATTTTACCAAAGGTTTCTGTCCTTCAAAACCATTAGATGTTGATGAAGTGATCCTATAAGATGGGAGTTTTCTCATTATTTTCTGATATCAGACCTTATCAACTTGTTCCAAAGCCTTCTCGAAGCCAAGCTATTTTTTTCATATCTGACAATATTAACTTGTCCCAAAGCCTCATTTTTTCTCTAATAATATCTGACCTTATCTCCAAGCCTTTTTCAAAGTCTCATTGTTTTTCTGATATCTGACCGTATTAACCTATTCCAAAGCCTTCTTCAAAGCCTCATTATTATTTTTCTGATATCTGACCTTATTAACTTGTTCCCAAGCCTTCTTCAAAGCCTCATTCTTTTTCTGATCAAGTTCAGCAATAACAGCAGCTATTTTAGCTTTATCATTCAGTACAATCTTTCTTTTCTTCATTAAATCTGCATACTGGAAAAAAATACAATGCAGGTATTCAATTAAATTCCATAGAAATCCACTGACAAGTGAGAATAGCAGATGAATATTTTGATTTAAATTTTTTTTCCCACTCATTTAAAAATATATAATCAACAGTAACATCCTATTTACAGTTGGTCAATAAAAAGCTTCTGTATAAGTTTTTTGTATATGAAGTACTCACTTCTACCATTAAAATAGTTTATAGAAAAAAAGTTTACACTTTTGCCTGAACCAGTTTTAAAAACTAAGAGAAACAGCAGCCATCTTGGCCATTGGACCATGTTTGTTGGTAGTCTGTTCCACAAATAAAACGCAATAAAATGGAATCCTATTAGATTATGAAACTTTGTTCAAGTATGACAGAGATTCATCTAAATTTCCCTCTTTCTCTTTACCTTTCCATTACTCTTACATGTTCTCTAAAAAATTCATAAAACTTCCACTTTGTTTACAAGATTCTCCTTCTCTTACCAATCCATCTGTCTGTCCCCTCCTCCAAATCTATATATAATTCATTTCATCAAATACTATTTACCTGTTCCTCAGCCTTGCCTAACATGTTCATAGCTCTCATGTTGACACTTTTAGACAATTTCTCTTTTGTATCTGTAAGTTTCTGAATTCTTCGTTCTGCCTCCTTAGGATCATTTGCTTTAAAATCATAAGCTGTGTTTTGCTGTCCAAAGTATTTTTTCTCATCAGCTATCCAATCATAGTTTTGTAATAAACTATCAACCTGTCAAAAAACAAAGTTATTTTGTAATTAATTATCCACCTGTCAAATAACAAAGTTATTTTGTAATTCACTATCATCCTGTCAAATAACAAAGTTATTTTGTAATTAACTATCATCCAGGTTATTGTACATATTATTTAATAAAGTATCCATCTGTCAAATAAGACATTTGTTTTACACTAAGACACCTGTAACTGGCTATTTGTTTCTATATATTTACTTTCACATGCAAGTAAACCTCATAATTTGAAGTAATAAATTTTATTTGTTTAAAAACAAATTGTAACACGTGAACCAACTGATAGTTATTTGAATGTTCTATCTCAATTAACAAATATGTTGCGAGTCAAAACTAATTATTTTGTTTCATAAAATCAGCATTTTATTTTTCTCTGAAATGTTGCTGTATGCATATGTCATATGCCTTAATAATCCATTTTCTGTTTTAATAGTTAAGACTATCTTATCTTATAAATTTGAATGTCATTTAACTGTATAGTTACCTGTTTTGCAGCCGTTTTAGAATCTGTTTGGTATTTGGCTATTTTATGTTCCATTTCCTGTATCTTCAGTTCAGACGTGTGTAGTTCCTTTGTTAGATGTTTTTGTTCGTCCACCTTTTTGTTGATATCTTTATTACAAGCCTTAAGAAGTTCCTTCTGTTTGGTCACCTCAGATTGAGCCTCTTTCACATCATCCTATAGAAACAATTTTAACTGTAATTCCTGAAGCACTAAAGCTAGCATATCCTCAATGGTAACTATATTATCCAGTATATCACTGGGTTTCTTTTTCATGACAAAATATTCAGCACACATTACTTCAACGGATAAGATCAGATTGGCTGATGTTTTAAATTTAGGAATTCCTTAGATAAATTACTTCTTTAGTTGTTTTCAACTAAATATTTCAAAATTCAATACAGTAGACTCCACCTAATCGTATATCGGCTAAACGAATATATCGGCTATTGTAATATTATTTCAAAACACCAAACCCTTCCCTATATGTTAAATGTTAATTTTATCGTGTAATCGAATATAAGAATATATCGGCAAATCGGATAAAAATATTCAGGTCATCTTGTTCAAAACCATGCACAATCGGATATTTTCAATGTTTTTCCTGACAGGAAATGGACCCGGAAGTTACGAATTTACAATCTTGCAGACAAGAAGATTTTGTTTTTACTAAATAAAAGGAACTATTTCTTAATAAATTGTTGTCTTTAATCATTGTCTTCCTCTGTCGTGTGAATTAGATGCCCTTTTACTTCAAATGGTTTGAATTTATCTATAAAATGTGCAAGACTCAGTTGACAAGTTGACGTTGCTGTTTGGAGAATTTTGATTAAACTCCAAGTGTTCACAGAATCAGAAATTTAATCTAAACTGAATGTACCTCCTTCTGAATAATTTATTGCAATATAAATATAAATCCCTTTTGACAAGAGAAATCTGACTTTTGTCAGATATATTTTTTTCACATGTGCAAAAGTAACCACATGTCATGGACGCCATTTTGGATGTTTACAAATTTGTGAGGAAGCCTCTAGAACTATGACCTAAATATAAATAGTCTTCAGAAAACGTAAACTTTATGAAATAATATTTTATCAATCATGATTATTTTCATAAATTTAAATTTGATTATTTAAAAAAATAAAATTATAACAAATACGATTTTAGTTTGGAGATTCTACACAGACATGCTTAGATCTATTTATAGCCAAATTAGTTTACCTGTGTGATAATGTAAATAATGGATATTAATTTGCTTACAAAACAAATAAAGACAAACTATGGATGGTAGATAATAATTCACATAAATATTTCAGGACATTTGATTTATTTTAATAAATAAAGGACTTAAAAACTGCAAACAAATTTAATCATTACATAAACAGCTGATAATTTTTTACACAAACATCGTGATGATGTAACTGATAAAAATCACTCCATCAATCCTCCAGCCCTTTCACATATTTAGCAATTGTCAGGGTTAGTAACATCTCAGGATTATATCTACTCATTATTGCAGAATATTCAAAGAATATACATTCATCGTCTAATTGAATATATCGGGTAATCGGATATTTTTAGCTGACATTTTGGGTATCCGATTTGCCTGAGTCTACTGTACCTGTTTGTAGTATCTTTATCAGACATTAGTTTAATTCACAATTTTTTTTATTTTATTTAATTCTGTAACTAATCAGGATATTTATAGGCAAGATCTGAAATCTTCCTCAAACTATTTTACATAGGTTTCATTGTCAGTTTTAAACCCAATATTCTTTAAAATCTTGTTTTTTTTAAACATTTTTCCAGTTCACATACCTTTGTTTCCTTCATCTTTGAGGCAAGATCATCAATCTGTTCCTCAAACTGTTTAATGGTTTCGTCCACTGTTTTTAATTGTTCTTCATAATTTTTTATATCTTTTTCCAGTTCCTCTACTTCTAATTTGATGCTATCTGTTTCCTGTAAGTAAACACATAGAAATAATAACCTTTTCCTTAGATGTCTAATCTTCTTCACAAATTCAACCCGAAAGTGAGGGATTCATAATTCTTCAATAACTTTTTATTCCATGTTCATAGGCTTTCAATGCCATCAGAAACCCTGGCAAAGAATGGTTAATGGCTTATAGTAACCAAGAACACAAAGTATTCTTTGATGCATGGACATCAGAAGACTCAAGTTTGTCATATTTCTGCTATATTTGCAATAAAACATTTACTAAAAGGTTGACTTTCAGTGATTATATTTCTATTAATCATGTGTTATTTTCTGTAGCATGATAATTATCTGATATTTTGTTTAAATTTCTTTGCTTTATAATTACTTTTGTATTTTTTTTTAATCTTCCTTGATTTATAATAAATACCTGATATTTTTCATTTTTTCATTTATTTATTTTTTGGTTTATAATTACCTGGTATTTTTCATTCATTTTTTTATAGTAATCTTCCTTCTTTCTGAGATTTATAATAACCTCACATTTTCTTCTATTTTCTTTGTTTTATATTTACCTGGTATTTTTCTTTCATTTTCTTGCTTGATTCTTCCATCTTCTTCTTAGATTTCCCCACATTGGTCTCAGCCTCCTTCAATTCTTTCTCTCTGATCGCTTTAGCATTCTTTATTTTATCTTCCAGATCTTTTACTTTCTGTGAAGCTTTCTTTTGTACTTCTTCTGCATTCTTTGTTATTTCTTCTTGTTCAACTATAACAAATATTACATGATACTTAAATGCTTTTAATTTAGGAACAGCCCTAAGAAAACATCTGTCTTGTCATGGTACCCTCTTCCTGTCCTACCATAGTAATATCTATGTATTTTGAACCTCAATTCAAAGGTAACTTTACTTTAAAATAAGGTCAGCTTTTCTCTTGTCATTATGGCAACCTTTATACACAGGTTTAACTGTATCTATCTTGGTTTGTTTTAAAGATGTTATCTTTAACTTGCCTCAGAATGATCCTTGAGCTACTAGTCAGTAACAATTATGTGAAGAAAAGATGAGACAGCAAAAAAAAAACGAAACCAGACAAATATCTGGAGATTAACATAGAGTCATCAAAAATATACAGGTCTACCAAACATCTTACATCTCCTTTAAATTCTTTAAACAACAAATAAAAACTGAATTGGACTTAACAGAAGTAAAATAGCATATATAAAATTGACATTCATCTGTTCATGATAAAAACTCTAAACTTTAACCTAATGAATATACGATAGACTAACCTATGGAAGCTTGCAGTGAATTGATTTCCTCTAGCTGTTGATGATGTGAACTCTGTTCCAGTCGGGCCTTTAATAATTCTGATTCATTCACTTTCAAATCATATTGTTGTTTTATAGTTGTGTATCTGTGTAATAAAGAATATAGAAGTTTATCAACTGTTATCACATATCAATAATACCAAATATCTGGACTAGCAGAATGTTAGCTACTCATTGGTTTGCCTTTGTAATGTAAGTTACTAATTAGTGGATTGTTTTGTGTCAAATATTGTTTTATCTATTAATGGGTTAGACTTTGTATACATTTATATGTATCCTGTATGGACACCTATATACAATGAGTATATACTTAAATACCTATCAGCAGTTTTCTTTATTGAAGCCAGTTGGTTTTCTATGTGTTGTAATTTCTCTGATTTCTCTCTCAATAGTGTTTCTGTTTCTTGAAACTGTTGAAGTTTCTGCAGAATGGAACCAGTCTGAGCTCTGGCACCTGTAGTAGTAAAGAGGAAATATTAACCCACAGAATGGAACCAGTCTGAGCTCTGGCACCTGTAATAGTAAAGAGGAAATATTAACCCACAGAATGGAACCAGTCTGAGCTCTGGCACCTGTAATAGTAAAGTGGAAATATTAACACACAGAATGGAACCAATCTGAGCTCTGGCACCTGTAATAGTAAAGAGGAAATATTAACCCACAGAATGGAACCAATCTGAGCTCTGGCACCTGTAGTAGTAAAGAGGAAATATTAACCCACAGAATGGAACCAGTCTGAGCTCTGGCACCTGTAATAGTAAAGAGGAAATATTAACCCTTAGAATGGAACCAGTCTGAGCCCTGGCACCTGTAATAGTAAAGAGGAAATATTAACCCACAGAATGGAACCAGTCTGAGCTCTGGCACCTGTAATAGTAAAGAGGAAATATTAACCCACAGAATGGAACCAGTCTGAGCTCTGGCACCTGTAATAGTAAAGAGGAAATATTAACCCACAGAATGGAACCAGTCTGAGCTCTGGCACCTGTAATAGTAAAGAGGAAATATTAACCCACAGAATGGAACCAGTCTGAGCTCTGGCACCTGTAATAGTAAAGAGGAAATATTAACCCACAGAATGGAACCAATCTGAGCTCTGGCACCTGTAATAGTAAAGAGGAAATATTAACCCACAGAATGGAACCAGTCTGAGCTCTGGCACCTGTAATAGTAAAGAGGAAATATTAACCCACAAAATGGAACCAGTCTGAGCTCTGGCACCTGTAATAGTAAAGAGGAAATATTAACCCACAGAATGGAACCAATCTGAGCTCTGGCACCCGTAATAGTAAAGAGGAAATATTAACCCACAGAATGGAACCAATCTGAGCTCTGGCACCCGTAATAGTAAAGAGGAAATATTAACCCACAGAATGGAACCAGTCTGAGCTCTGGCACCTGTAATAGTAAAGTGGAAATATTAACACACAGAATGGAACCAATCTGAGCTCTGGCACCTGTAATAGTAAAGAGGAAATATTAACCCACAGAATGGAACCAATCTGAGCTCTGGCACCTGTAGTGGTAAAGAGGAAATATTAACCCACAGAATGGAACCAGTCTGAGCTCTGGCACCTGTAATAGTAAAGAGGAAATATTAACCCACAGAATGGAACCAATCTGAGCTCTGGCACCTGTAATAGTAAAGAGGAAATATTAACCCACAGCATGGAACCAGTCTGAGCTCTGGCACCTGTAGTAGTAAAGAGGAAATATTAACCCACAGCATGGAACCAGTCTGAGCTCTGGCACCTGTAATAGTAAAGAGGAAATATTAACCCACAGAATGGAACCAATCTGAGCTCTGGCACCTGTAGTGGTAAAGAGGAAATATTAACCCACAGCATGGAACCAGTCTGAGCTCTGGCACCTGTAATAGTAAAGAGGAAATATTAACCCACAGAATGGAACCAATCTGAGCTCTGGCACCTGTAATAGTAAAGAGGAAATATTAACCCATAGAATGGAACCAGTCTGAGCCCTGGCACCTGTAATAGTAAAGAGGAAATATTAACCCATAGAATGGAACCAGTCTGAGTCCTGGCACCTGTAATAGTAAAGAGGAAATATAACACACAGCATGGAACCAATCTGAGCCCTGGCACCTGTAATAGTGAAGAGGAATATTAACCCATGGAATGAGACCAGTCTGAGACCTTGGACCTGTAGTAGTGAAAAAGAAATATTAACAAGAGAATGTAATGGTCCCCGTCCTGGCACCTGAATTAGAGAAAAGAAATATTAACAACAGAATGTAATGGTCCCCGTCCTGGCACCTGAATTAGAGAAAAGAAATATTAACAAGAGAATGTAATGGTCCCTGTCCTGGCACCTGAATTAGAGAAAAGAAATATTAACAACAGAATGTAATGGTCCCCGTCCTGGCACCTGAATTAGAGAAAAGAAATATTAACAAGAGAATGTAATGGTCCCTGTCCTGGCACCTGAATTAGTGAAAAGAAATATTAACAACAGAATGTAATGGTCCTGGTCCTTAGTAAAGATGAAATATTGACCAACACAGAATTATTTTTTCCACTGATTGTACCAATAGAATTGGTTTGAGCCCATGCATCAATAATAGAAGTTTTAAGTGAACAAAACATAAAATATGGTCACATATATATATAATTCTGAGAAAAGACTGAAATATATTAAAACAAAGAGTAATCAGTGTTAAGCAAATTTTTTGTTGTGTGCTATATATTGACCTACCTCCTGTTAGTGTTCCAGCAGGATCAAAGGAATCTCCTTCCAATGTGACAGATTTCTTCATGATTCTCTCATCAAATGTCACTTTCTTGGCAGTGTTCATGTCATTACAGATGAATGCAGAACCAAACACAAACTCCATTGCCGCCTGGAGATCTTTCTCAAAACCAATCAAGGACAATGCTGTGTGGACATTACCTTTACCAACCTAAAAATAGAAACATGTTCCACAATCAAGGACAATGCTGTGTGGACATTACCTTTACCAACCTAAAAATAGAAACATGTTCCACAATCAAGGACAATGCTGTGTGGACATTACCTTTACCAACCTAAAAATAGAAACATGTTCAACAATCAATGACAATGTTGTGTGGGCATTACCTTTACCAACCTAAAAATAGGAACATGTTCCACAATCAATGACAATGCTGTGTGGGCATTACCTTTACCAACCTAAAAATAGAAACATGTTCCACAATCAATGACAATGCTGTGTGGGCATTACCTTTACCAACCTAAAAATAGAAACATGTTCCACAATCAATGACAATGTTGTGTGGGCATTACCTTTACCAACCTAAAAATAGAAACATGTTCCACAATCAATGACAATGCTGTGTGGGCATTACCGTTACCAACCTAAATATAGAAACGTCTTCCCCAATCAATGACAATGCTGTGTGGACATTACCTTTACCAACCTAAAAATAGAAACGTCTTCCCCAATCAATGACAATGCTGTGTGGGCATTACCTTTACCAACCTACTAATAGAAACATGTTCCCCAATCAATGACAATGCTGTGTGGACATTACCTTTACCAACCTAAAAATAGAAACGTCTTCCCCAATCAAGGACAATGCTGTGTGGGCATTACCTTTACCAACCTAAATATAGAAACGTCTTCCCCAATCAATGACAATGCTGTGTGGACATTACCTTTACCAACCTAAATATAGAAACGTCTTCCCCAATCAATGACAATGCTGTGTGGGCATTACCTTTACCAACCTAAATATAGAAACGTCTTCCCCAATCAATGACAATGCTGTGTGGGCATTACCTTTACCAAGCTAAAAATAGAAACGTCTTCCCCAATCAATGACAATGTTGTGTGGACATTACCTTTACCAACCTACTAATAGAAACATGTTCCACAATCAATGACAATGCTGTGTGGGCATTACCTTTACCAACCTAAAAATAGGAACATGTTCCACAATCAATGACAATGTTGTGTGGGCATTACCTTTACCAACCTAAAAATAGGAACATGTTCCACAATCAATGACAATGTTGTGTGGGCATTACCTTTACCAACCTAAATATAGAAACGTCTTCCCCAATCAATGACAATGCTGTGTGGGCATTACCTTTACCAAGCTAAAAATAGAAACGTCTTCCCCAATCAATGACAATGTTGTGTGGACATTACCTTTACCAACCTAAAAATAGAAACGTCTTCCCCAATCAATGACAATGCTGTGTGGGCATTACCTTTACCAAGCTAAAAATAGAAACGTCTTCCCCAATCAATGACAATGTTGTGTGGGCATTACCTTTACCAACCTACTAATAGAAACATGTTCCACAATCAATGACAATGCTGTGTGGGCATTACCTTTACCAACCTAAAAATAGGAACATGTTCCACAATCAATGACAATGCTGTGTGGACATTACCTTTACCAACCTAAAAATAGAAACATGTTCCACAATCAAGGACAATGCTGTGTGGACATTACCTTTACCAACCTAAAAATAGGAACATGTTCCACAATCAATGACAATGTTGTGTGGGCATTACCTTTACCAACCTAAAAATAGAAACATGTTCCCCAATCAATGACAATGTTGTGTGGGCATTACCTTTACCAACCTACTAATAGAAACATGTTCCACAATCAATGACAATGCTGTGTGGGCATTACCTTTACCAACCTAAAAATAAATAGAGAATGTGTCTATGGGACACAGATGCCCCCACTTGTAAATATGCGAGAGTCAACTTCCACATACAGATGCAGGATTCACGTAGTTAAGACCTTTTCGTGATAATAAGCATTGTGTATAAGTTTCATAACATTTGGTTGAGGCAAACTAAAGTAGAGAATGAAAATGAAAAATTCAGCAATTTTTATGTTTATAAAGGGGCATAACTCATGAACGGTAAAAGTGACGCCACCCAATTTCGAACTTGATCTGTGTTTTGTGGTAATAAGCATGTGTATAAGTTTCATAATATTTGGTTGAGGCAAACTAAAGTTAGAGAACGGAAACCAATTTTGGGGAAGTACGCGACGGACAGATGGACAAGGGTAACAATTAATGCCCCCGCCACTACGGCGGGGGCATAAAAACAAAAGTTTGTCATTTAATCAATATAAAGGATTATTTAGACACCCTCCTTAGAATAACAAAGTGTATTAAAATGCACATCTTAAAATCTTCAATATCGATGTCTTTTCTGACTACCTTTATAAATACATCTGGAAATATCTTATTGAAAGATAACTATGTTTAGGTATCTTCTCTTTAGTTCATCTTTGTGTTACAAATTACCTGACCCCCCCCCCCCCCCCCCCCCTTTTCCTCTATCAGTAACTCTACTTACTAGATCCTCTGCCTTCCTGACGACTCCTTGATCTATACATCTGGCAGATATTTTATTGAGAGGTATGATTGTGTATCGTCTCCTCAGTTCACCTTTCTGCAGCAGTTTTTTACCAGTAACTTCAGTATCCACAACTACATTGTATAACTGTGAAACAAAACACATTAACATGTATATCAAATGCTATAAGGGTAAATAAAAATAGAGGCTGCAAGGAATTGTTTTTACTTGGTACACAAATTAATTTGCATTTCTTCTCTCCAAATGTATTTCCATTTTTGATGACATCATTGGTAAGTTTTTCATTCTATAAGTCGGGTATAGTACACTGAAAAAAAAAAGACCTGTAAATAACACAATCTTTTGCCAAATTTTTACTTTAAATTTGTATAAATTATGCTGTAATTAAATGCCAAAAAAAAAAAAAATCAATTTTCGAATGCATCAGATATCAGTGAAATTTTATTTGAATTAGATTTAAGGGCATTAGATCAGCAATATCTGTCAAATTGAATTAACTTGCAAATATGTATTTGTAATGAATGGAGAGACAACCATGCATCTTTATGTTGACACAATATCTTTTATTTACTTAGCAATGTATTTACTCTAAAGATAAAGAACAGCAATAAAAATGTTTTTCCTTTGATATATAATTACATGTGTAGTTATCAATGTTTGTCACATGCATATCCCCAAATGATGAGTTCGTAGCGATACCTACCTTTCCACCAGCAGCAACTTCCAATGCTGTAGCAGTTTTCACATCTTTAACTTTTATAAGTTTACAAACTAAACCATGAACTTTTCTTCTATCAAAATTCTTCTCAGGATCTTTGTAGTCAAATTGTAAATGGGGAAATCTACAAAATTAAAAATGTAACATTTTTTTTTTACACAAAATACCTTTCAAAATAAACGGAGAATGTGTCCATGGGACACAGATGATGCTCCCACTTGCATATAGCGTTATAAATGGACATAATTAGAGAACTGTAAAAGTGATGCCACCCAAATTCGAACTTGATCTGTGTTTTATGGTAAAAAGTCTTCATAACATTTGGTTAAAGCAAACTAAAGTTAGAGAACAGAAACTAAATTCGGGAGGTACGTACGGACACTCAATGCCCCTTCTGCCGCGGTGGGGCATAAAAATAATTCAATTCATACATTAAAACTGTTTGTCATTAACACTCCTCATATATTTCATATACTGTAAATTTAGAAGTTAAAGTGATTTTTGCAATATTGCAATCCACATAACTGTGTAGATCCCACTGTTCAAACCTGCATTTTATCTTTACCATACAAATCTCAATCTCTCTAAATACACTCATTAATTTCTACATTTATATCTCAAAACATACACATAATTAACTAGAAACTTTGTAAAACAGTATTCCATGTTCAGTGAATTTGAGTCAATTGTTTTTTTTTTTAAATGTATATTTAATAAAGTTCAAAATGTATAATTATGTGTACTAAATTTGAATTTTATGTGACCATGGCTTCATGGTAAAGTACATTAACCCAAAACTTTTGACCTCAGAATATACTAATTTCAAATTTAGTATCTCATTTACAAGTTCACTAAACCATACAATTGTGGTTAAACCTGTATGTAATTTTGCATATACTTTAATTAGATTAAATAATAAAGTGTATGAAGTTTCAAATAAATGTGACCACAGTAGTATGGTTAACTACCTTAAACCAAAACTTTTGCCTAATATTAGAATCATTTTGTGAAAAATAGATTTTGGGGCCATTCACCCACAAACTTTTTTTTTAAAATGGATGAGAAAATATATTTCTTCTAAATATTTCAATAAGTCTGACCTGGCCTCTAAAGTATCTAGTTGTTCTTTTAGTCTATGAACTTCTTGTGACAATGTTCTTCTTTCTCCAGCTAGCTTTTCATCTATTCCTTCTTCAAAACCCAATTTCTTCATTTCATTCTATGTAAAAGAAAAGAAAGAACAATTCATCAAATCTCTAGTTTTAAGAAGATATACATACTGTGATATTATTTATTTCCGTTTGTACCAATTTTTTTGATCAATGGAAAACTGTATTTCATAGATACTAGATTTCATGGTTTTGACAAATTTATAACACAAGTCAATATGGAACTTGCATTTTATCAAAAGATAAATTAATGGTTCATCTTGAGTGTACTTGAAAATCCAAGAAAATTCGTACCCAGTAACAAAAATCATCAAAAATTTGTGTCTTTGATCAGTCCAGTACACAAAAGTTGATGACTATAAACAGCTACATGAAATGCTGTATCACCAGACAGCTACATGAAATGCTGTATCACCAGACAGCTACATGAAATGCTGTATCACCAGACAGCTACATGAAATGCTGTATCACCAGACAGCTACATGAAATGCTGTATCACCAGACAGCTACATGAAATGCTGTATCACCAGACAGCTACATGAAATGCTGTATCACCAGACAGCTACATGAAATGCTGTTTCACCAGACAGCTACATGAAATGCTGTATCACCAGACAGCTACATGAAATGCTGTATCACCAGACAGCTACATGAAATGCTGTATCACCAGACAGCTACATGAAATGCTGTTTCACCAGACAGCTACATGAAATGCAGTTTCACCAGTTATGTTTGGCAAAGTTTGATATGATATTCTGTCTTGATGGTTTCTACTTCTACACACAATTTTTCTTGAAGTTCAATGCAATAATATGATTCAAGCCTGCAAATTTTACTTCTTTGTCAAATTGTCTAACAAAACTGATAAAGTTATCATTTCTATTATACTTTCATTTCTAAATTTTGCATAGATTTCCAATGGTATTGTCCAATGTTTTTAAACCTATAAATTTCACATATTTTCTTCTTAATATGCCAAAGCCATATCTAAATTTGGTATAATTTCTCTTCATACTGTCCAAAGCTATTACCATTAAATGTGTCATATTTTCACCCCTGCTAAACTTTTAAGTTTTTTACCTCTAAGTTTTGCATGTTTTTCTTGATAGCATCATAAGCAGCAGTATCTTTCTTGTAGCCTTGTTCTGTTTTCTTTACTTCTGCTTGTTTCTTCTTTACTTCATCTCTAGCATGCTTTAATCTAGGTTATTAAATAATTTAATCAAATATTTATCTTATGAGTCAAACCCTTTCAAATGGTTTTAACAGTTGAACAGTTTGTTCCTATGTTGTGGTGTTACACCCCTGTCACAGGTAAGGGTAATGTTAAGCACTCAAAAAACATAATTAAGCCAATCACATTCTTCATGTGCCCTCTAAAGTCAGAAGCCAGTAATTCAGTGGTTGTTATTGGTTGGTGACTGTCATATTTGTTGTTTTTTCGTTTGTTATTTAATCATTAATCAGGTAGGTTTTCTTGTTTGAAATGTTTTAAATTTTGTCATGTCATTCCTTTAAAAGCTAACTAAATACAGTATGGATTTTCTAATTGTTGAAGGCCTTAGATGCCCTGTATTTACCTACATCCATATCATTTGGTATCTGGTGGATAGTTTGGCACTGGCAACCATACCAAATTTCCCTGATTTATTTTGTGAAAAATAAGTAACATTCTAACAACATTAATTATGACCACTTTAATCTTATAACAATAATGGAGTTATTTCCCTTTTACCTCATCTGAGCCTGTTTTGTTTCTGTCTGAGCTTTACTAATGTCATTCTTGGCAGCTGAAAACACAAATAGTAGACACTAAATATAATATGGGTTTTCAATAATACATGTATGAAGGTAAAAAATTTATTTCACTGCACTCATGTCAAAATATATTAATTCTTTGTTGTTAGTTGTCCCAGTTTGTGTGATCTTGGAAATGGAATTTCAGACTGTGTGAATTAAAGATCAATAGAAAATAATCTTTTGTAGGGTTTAATTCAAAATCTTAGTGAAACAGAAAATATGCAAAATAAACTGTTGACACAGAGATATTTCTCGCATGTCGGCATAAAATGAAGAAAAAGACAATCTGATGGACAGCAACATTGCTAATTAATTCAAAGTCACTGGACCAACTAGTGGGTAGGGCCTCGAAATGGTTGACAAACTGAGATGTACAGATAGCAATGTAACTTTATAGAAAATACTGTCTATTGCAAGTAGTACATATCAAACTAACTTAAGCAGAAAACTTATCATTGAAAATTGCTATTTAATTGAAAGTCACTGAACCATTGCCTAGGGGGCAGGGCTTCGAAATAGTTGTCAAACTGATATGTATTGATAGTAATGCAACTTCACACAAAACATCATTGATCTATCATCAGTAGTTCCTATCAATCTAGCTTCAGCAGAAAATTAAACATTTAAAATGCTTATTAATTCAAAGTCACTGGTTGGAGCAAACAAATATTGGAGCAAACAAATATTGTAACAAACAAATGGAGCAAACAAATATTGTAACAGCCGAGAAAGTGATTCAGATGATGAAATGGATAGTGAAGATGACTTTAAATAAGAACAATCAGAAGACCTGAACTGGTCCTTCATTGTTAATTTGCCTGTGGGTGCGAAGAATAAAACTAATATTAATAAAAGTTAATTTTCGATAAAATATGTTATTAATTTTATTTCAGGATAAAATTGAGAGATTTTGTAGGACTGGCTTAAATTTTGTAGGACTGACAAATAATCATGCTTTGTCGGTCCCATGACCGACGGGTCAAAATAAATTTTCGCGAACTCTAGGGACAAGGCCTAAAAAATGTCTTAAAACTGATATGTACTGATAGTAAAGCATCTTCATACAACATATCAATGATCTATCACAAGTAGTTACTATCAAACTAACTCTACAATTGTTGAAGCTGTCCCTGGAAAAGCAATCCCTATGTATTGCTTTCCGGGACTTTTCGTCGCAGGCAAGACAAAGTTGGTATAAAATATCTTTCAAGGGCAATAACTCCTATAAGGGTTCAACTGACAATTTCGGTCATGTTGATTTATTGATAGCTCTTACTTTGTTGAACATTTTTGCTGCTTGAAGTTTCTATCATAGTTTCTGTACAAATTTAATAAAAGTAGTCTTTCAAGGGCAATTACTCCTATAAGGATCAATTGATGAATTTCTTTCTTAGACTTATTAGTAGAACATACTTTGCTGATCATTTGATCATTTTTGTGGTTTAAATTTCACTTACATATAATAATTTTCAAGATAAAGACCAAAAAACTGAGAAACTTCATAAAAATTATTTCAGGGGCAACAACTCAAAATTGGATTGTCGGATTCATCTAAAAATTTCCGAACTAATAGAAATTTACCTGCTGATCATTTTAACCTCAATCAATTTTGCTCAAACTGCTTTAGTTTTAGAGATATAAGCCAAAAACTGCATTTTACCCCCACTATGTTCTAATTTTAGCAATGACAGCCATGTTTGTTGACTGGCCTGAATAAACAAACACAAACTTTATACTAGATACCATAAGGATCATTCACCTTAAGTTTGGCTGAAATTGGTTCAGTAGTTTCAGAGGAGAAGATCTTTGAAAAAGTTTACGACAACGACTGAAGCTAAGTGATTGACAAAAGCTAGAATCTTGAGTGGCAGGGTTACTTACTTAAAAGCTGATCATTCAATGTGGTATCCTCTCCATTTGCATAACTAGACAGACCGGCACTGACAGCTTTGAATCTAAGTGGCAGGGTTACTTACTTAATAACTGATCATTCAGTGTGGCATCCTCTCCATCTGTATTACTAGACAGACCGGCACTGACAGCCTGGAATCTGTTTTGAGCTGCAGTGTAGGCCTCTTGGTCTTCATTACTCTGCGCTTGTAGCTTTTCCAAATCTTTGGCCACTTTGTCAATTTCTTTTTGTTTAGACTGTAAAGTTTTCTTATCCTAAAGGAAAAGGTTAACTTTTGTTTTAACATCACTTCAATAAAGCTTATACTCTTGACACATACATTGGCATAACGTTTAACTTTCACTATCATATGTACTAATTACACTTGTATTAAATGTCAGTAATAGGAAACCTTGACCGAGTTACACAAAATAATTACAACTACTATACAGACATGAACTATACAGAATGTTTTAGTAAAATGTGTGAAGATAAACTTTAATACATCATATTATATAACCATTAACCATGATAAAGTAGATATTTGATTGATTGATTGTCATTTGCACAACAACCTGTGGAAAATATTTCATGCTATTTAGGATGAGAACAAATAAACAATTAATTCAATAGGCAGGTCCTGCAATAGGGGTCGACCCGCAAGGATGTGGGACATTTGAAATGCTACTGGAAAATGAGGGTATATTTGAGAGGGACATACAGAAATTGACCCTCAAAAAGTTGCTGTAAGGGTTATTACCCTGCAAAGAGCACAACACTTTTTCTATAGAGGGATCAGATTTAATATCCCCTTTCTGATCAGACTTGTCTGCAAATTCATTCATCACACACAGCCAAAAGGACGCCCCACTTTTGCAATAGTTTTACTTCAGGTCGGAAGAAGATGAAAAGTCATCATATTTCTTTACCCCCGTCACCCTTAAGGAACATTAACTTTCATACCGGTTAATTGGTCGAAAGATTATCAGAGTAACCAGTTAGGTTAAAATCTCCAATTTGACAACACAATTTTTTAGTCCAAAAGGCCCGAGAACACAGTTATTTCGTAGTGCATTTCTTTTAGACAATAAATTCAAATTAAAAAAATCGCACCTGCTCTATCTCAAAAAGATTTTTACAGTGTAGTGTACTACTATTGATACAAATAATATCAAAATTATAGAAACTTCTACCAGCTCTAACTCAAAATATTGACAATTCTGTGTTAAGGGGGGCTAAAATTCAGTTTGACAGCTTCAGACATTCTAATTTTTGACCTTTTTTAACTGGACCAAATCACTACTTAACATAAAGATTCAGCACCCAAATTTTTTTAACATGTAATTTCATCCCCTTACTTAATATTTCATGCATAAAATATCAAGAAATAAATTGGGAAAGTGTATCAAAAAAAAATGCAAGTTATACACTGTTCACACTAGGGACTATATTCGTAGACAACGAAAACCAAAGGACGATAACTGTGTCCTTGGACCTAATAGGATAGAAAGACTTGACCAATTTTAATAAAACTTTGCATGACCTAAGCTTAGGAAATTATAAGATAGTCAGCCAAGTTTCATGGCCATAAGATATATATTATAGAAACTAGGGCCATTTTAATATTGAAATTTGGATGTTTATTTTTGACGTTTAAATCAAATATTTTCAACTGTCAAGATTTTGGCCTAAAAAATTTAAATATTGCAAAAATGTGCTTTTTAAATACTCTTGAATATAATATAATAAGTATTAAAAGCAACAGAACACTCATTTGATTTATCAGATTTATTACAGCTATTCAAAAGTCAAATTTATATGAGCCTGTGCCTGAAAATAGAGATTTTCGAATTAAGGGAAGCCTTACATAAACATGCATTTTTTTCAACCAATTTGAAGTTTTTGAAGTTTTTTAACCATACATTATTCTTTCATATATATTAAATGTACTTTAAATGTAAAGAAAAGTTACAAAAAGCATACCACATGAGAAAAATTCGTAAGGGTTCCGTGGAACCCAGTGTCTCGCCTACTTTTGCTGTTAATCGCAGGCTCAACAAAAATGAGGAAAAAAATTAATAAAAATATTCCTCTCTATTCTATCTTTTGATTGTAAGTAGCTTCTGTCCAAGTTTGGTAAAAATCCAGGATAGTTTATGAATCTAATAAATGTTTAAAAACTTTAACTGCAGACTGAATTTAATGTTAACTGGAAGAAAACAAAATTTCCTTCTAGATACTAGCATTTGATCATAAACAAGCTTCTGTCCAAGTTTGGTACAAATCCAAAATAGTATAAAAAGTTATTAAAATTTTAAAAACTTTAACCACAGAGTGAATGTGTTGTTTCCTGGCAGAAAATCTAAGTCCATTAAAAGTAAAATACAGAAAAAATGGATTTATTTTTTTTACAAAATTTCCTTCTAGATACTAGCTTTTGATCATAAACAAGCTTCTGTCCAAGTTTGGTACAAATCCAAAATAGTAAAAGAAAGTTATTAAAATTTTAAAAACTTTAACCACAGAGTGAATGTGTTGTTTCCTGGCAGAAAATCTAAGTCCATTTAAAAGTAAAATAAGGAAAAAATGGATTTTTTTTTTTACAAAATTTACTTCTGGATACTATCTTATGATCATAAACAAGCTTCTGTTCAAGTTTGGTAGAAATCCAGGATAGTTTAAGAAAGTTATTAAAATTTTAAAAACTTTAACCACAGAGTGAATGTAATATTTCCCGGCAGAAAAACTAAGTCCATTTATAAGTAAAATACAGAAACAAGAGTGCACACGCTGAAATGTCTCGCCTTCTTTACTAATCATTGATATTATGTTGATAGTCCTAAATATAAAGCTTTATTACAACTGTCACATAAACTTAACATTAACCAAGTAAACTAAACATTGACCAATGAACCATGAAAATGAGGTCAAGGTCAGATGAACCATGCTAGGCAGGCATGTACAGCTAACAATTCTTCCATACAAAAAATATAGTTGACCTATTGCTTATAGTTTAAGAAAAACAGACGAAAACACAAAAACTTAACACTGAGCAATGAACCTTGAAAATGAGGTCAAGGTCAAATAAAACCTGCGTGACTGACATATAGATCATAAAATATTTCCATACACCAAATATAGTTGAACTATTGCATATAGTATTAGAAAAAAAGACCAAAACTCAAAACTTAACTTTGACCACTGAACCATGAAAATGAGGTCAAGGTAAGATGACACCTGTCAGCTAGACATGTACACCTTACAATCATTCCATACACCAAATATAGCTGACCTATTGCATGCAGTATTAGAAAAAAAGACCAAAACTCAAAAACTTAACTTTGACCACTGAACCATGAAAATGAGGTCAAGGTCAGATGACACCTGCCAGCTAGACATGTACACCTTACAATCATTCCATACACCAAATATAGTAGACCTATTGCATACAGTATAAGAAAAACAGACCAAAACACAAAAACTTAACTATAACCACTGAACCATGAAAATGAGGTCAAGGTCAGATGACACCTGCCAGTTGGACATGTACACCTTACAGTCCTTCCATACACCGAATATACTAGACCTATTGCTTATAGTATCTGAGATATGGACTTGACCACGAAAACTTAACCTTGTTCACTGATCCATGAAATGAGGTCGAGGTCAAGTGAAAACTGTCTGACGGGCATGAGGACCTTGCAAGGTACGCACATACCAAATATAGTTATCCTATTACTTATAATAAGAGAGAATTTAACATTACAAAAAATCTGAACTTTTTTTTCAAGTAGTCACTGAACCATGAAAATGAGGTCAAGGACATTGGACATGTGACTGACGGAAACTTCGTAACATGAGGCATCCATATACAAAGTATGAAGCATCCAGGTCTTCCATCTTCTAAAATATAAAGCTTTTAAGAAGTTAGCTAACGCCGCCGCCGCCGCCGTAGCCGCCGCCGCCGCCGGATCGCTATCCCTATGTCGAGCTTTCTGCGACAAAAGTCGCAGGCTCGACAAAAATGGAATTTTATTTTTACAAAATTTACTTCTGGATACTATCTTATGATCATAAACAAGCTTCTGTCCAAGTTTGGTAGAAATCCAGGATAGTTTAAGAAAGTTATTAAAATTTCAAAAACTTTAACCACAGAGTGAATATTTGTGGACGCCGCCGCCGACGGAATGTAGGATCGCTATGTCCCGCTTTTTCGACTTAAGTCGAAGGCTCGACAAAAATGCACACAGAGGCTATAAGAAATGGAAATTTGTTACTTTTTGCTCATTTCTATGCTAAGATGTCATGATACAAGAAGTCTAATTGCAAAAGGACTCTTGAATTCAACTTTTTTTGCAGACAGTATGGTCTGATGACCAGTTTTTCACTTTTCAATGGAAAACTTGCATGTAGTTTTAGTCTCAATTGGCATATATTTGAACCACTTACTATCCTAAAGAAGAAAATTATGGTAGCATATGAAATGAATAGGGGTGTACTGATCATTGTAGAGTTTTTTTTTTACAGACTTAGTGAAATATTTGTGATGGACTACAGATTTTATGTACAAAGCTCTTCACATTTCACATACATCAAACAGGCTGTTTAACCAGGGCCATAAATACAAATATTCTGCACATTTTTTCTGTGATAATCTACTTTTCTCTAGATTCAGAGTTCACAAATGGTTAATTAAATTTGATTTAAGCATAGAAACACAAATATCAGGAACATAAAAAGCTGTCAGATAGAAAGTCAGCATGGCTCTTAGGCATAAAATGGAAACTGCTTTAAAATGCTTATTTTAGCCGTATAATGCCAAAATGGGACATTTTAACAGAACTTCTGTCAAACAAAGATGTAAATCCTTTACTTTTATTGAGTTTGACAAATTGAAACCAGCAAACCATTCAGGAAAGTTGCCAAAGTACAAAATCTACATTTACGGAATTCATCTCTTAGGCCCGAGAACACAGTTATTTCGTAGTGCATTTCTTTTAGACAATAAATTCAAATTAAAAAAATCACACCTGCTCTATCTCAAAAAGATTTTTACAGTGTAGTGTACTACTATTGATACAAATAATATCAAAATTATAGAAACTTCTACCAGCTATAACTCAAAATATTGACAATTCTGTGTTAAGGGGGGCTAAAATTCAGTTTGACAGCTTCAGACATTCTAATTTTTGACCTTTTTTAACTGGACCAAATCACTACTTAACATAAAGATTCAGCACCCAAATTTTTTTAACATGTAATTTCATCCCCTTACTTAATATTTCATGCATAAAATATCAAGAAATAAATTGGGAAAGTGTATCAAAAAAAAATGCAAGTTATACACTGTTCACACTAGGGACTATATTCGTAGACAACGAAAACCAAAGGACGATAACTGTGTCCTTGGACCATAAGATTAAATTCTTAAGCCTAACCCCCTGATCCAGATACCAGATTAATCCTTACATTATCTGACTGTTTAACCAGAGATTAATCCTTACATTATCTGACTGTTTTACCAGAGATTAGTCCTTAAATTATCTGACTGTTTAACCAGAAATTAATCCTTTCATTATCTGACTGTTTAACCAGAGATTAATCCTTACATTATCTGACTGTTTAACCAGAGATTAATCCTTACATTATCTGACTGTTTAACCAGATCTTTCCTTTTTTTCTGTTCTGCTTTAAGTCCTTCCTTTTTATTATCGACGGCACTTTGAGCGAGAGCCTCTACTTTCTGTTTCTCACTTAGATTATGTTCTAACTTCTGTAATACACTTCCTGATTCTTCGTCTCGTTTCTTCTCCAGCTGTGTTAGTACCTGGCCTATTTCCTTTATTTTGTCATTCATCTAGTAAATAAATTAAAATTTGTAAATGCATATTAAACATTCTCCCCAAAAGTCAAGTCCACAATCATTGTTTGGCAGAGTGGTTAAATTTTATATGACACTGGCTAAAACAAATTTTGAACACAGAATATAGTTTTGAATGAGTGTATTATATGGGTTACACCCTCATTTAACAAGTTCATGATCATTGCAATAGCAAGCTAAAATCGATGTAACTTTGTCTTACCTCAACCATTTAAACTTTAATGATGTAACTTTAACTTACTGCGACCATTTTTACATAAATGATCTAACTGTATCTTACCTCGACCATTTTAACTTTAGTATTCTCTATTGATTCCTGCATCTCTAATAAATCGTCAGCTGATTTCTTTTTTCTTTCCTGGATAAAAAGTAGTTATTCAAATTTAACTGATACTGCTAGTTATATATATATATATATATATATATAATGGTATGCATCTTTCCTTTATAACAAGATGCATACCAGCATTCAAAAACTTTATTTTCTCACCATAAATCGTCATGGTATGGCTCTCTCCAACAAATTTTAAAAACTCTTCCTGGGTTTGCAAACCTAAATGATGGGAAAAATATTTCATAAAATACCATCAAGAAAATATTGAAAGAGACATGCATAAAAATTTGGAAGGATCAACTGACCAAGAATTCAGAAGGGAAGCTCCGCACTTATGTAAAATTTAAGAATAATTATGGTTTCGAAAAATATCTAAATATCATGTCCAATTTTGAACTTAGGAGATCATTAACAAAATTTAGGGTGTCATCTCACCATTTGCAGATTGAAATAGGACGATACCTGGGTACTCCTCCACACCTTAGACTATGTCAGCAGTGTAACTCTTGTAATATTGAAGATGAAGTTCATTTTCTCTTTTATTGCACAAAATATAACGAAGACAGACACCATTTATATCACATTATTTCGGAATCATGTCACAATTTCATTAACTTAAATTCCCAAGAGAAATTGCTATGGCTGTTGTCTTGTGAGAACTTAACTGTATTAAAAGAGTTGTGTATATTCCTGGTTAAACACTGCAAATAGCAGATTTATATGACATGTTTCGCATAATTAATAATTGTTGTTATTTAAAAAAAAAATAAAAAAATAGTAATAATTATTTGTTAATTGACCGGATTCAGTTTATCTATTTATTTTGTTCATCTGCTTCTGACACGGGGAGGATTGCTGTTAGTGCCTATCGCAATCAACAGTATATCCTAGAGCACCGTCCCTTGGTGTCTCCTGCAGATGAACAAATTTCCATCTTTATAGATAATAAGTTAAGGTTGATCAAACTTTATTATTAATACTTTTTCTTTTTATTTTTTACACTGCTGGACATAAGGAAGGAAGGAAAAAAAAAATACTCAAGAGTACTTTTAATGTATTTTTGTTATTAATACTATTTTCATTGTCTATTATAATATCTGTCATGTTATATACTGTACAATGTCTCATGTTTGTTGCTTCTACTATCATAATTAATTGTAAATGCCCCCTGTGGGACCATGATTGGAATAATAAATATTTGATTTGATTTATAAAAAAAAAACAACCACAAAACTTATAAAAGAACAGAGTTCAAGTGATATAAGTTTCATAAAAATCTGGCAAGAAAAGTACACGACAGTGATAACAAAGCAATTTTCCATATAATTAATGTTTCAAAGGGGCATAACTCTTTTTAAAATAATTGATCAACACTGATTTTCAAACTTGTCCAAGACATTGCCGAAATAAACCTATGATATAAGTTTCATTAAAATCTGGCAAGAATTGTACATGTCAGGGCACTAACAAGACTGAACGGGCAGACGCCCGCTATTTTTGGGCGGGGGACAACTAACTTAGGGTTAATTGTATGGGCAGTTGATAAGTTCTTCTAATAAAATTTGATGGTGGTATTTATTTTTAAAAACGTAGCTTGGACAATTATAGGAAATAATTAATTTAAATTTTAGTAACTGTAACTTAGAAAGGGTTTTTCACTAAGCACAGGCACCCAGCGAAATTTCCCGTTTCAAATTAAGGAAAATCACCAGTTCAAATTTTGTTTCCAAATAAAAATTAAATAAATAAAACTGTGCTATCATTGCGTAAAACAAGTTGTTTTCGATTGAACTTATTGAAAACCCTGGTTAGGTTAACTAAAAAGTGCCCTCTGAGCCCATACACATTTAATTGATATCCACTTTTACTAATATTGTTGAAGGACTTCAAAATACAATAAATGTATAACCATGTTTATCTTTTTTGAACAAATGAAAAAAATGGAGCAAATACTAGCAACTCTTCCAAATATCAAATTACAATCAGAAAAATTGCAGACAAAATTTTTGACAGATTAAAAACTGTATTCTTAAAAGGCTTATCATGGCTGTTCCATGGAACACGCATGGAACCTAGGAACTCAACAATAGGTGGGGGTCAATACTTTTTCTACAGTGAAAACTATATGTAACTTGTTTAAATGTTCTAGTATAAATACCTCAGCACACACATACTGGATGGCTTTATATAACTTGTTTAAATGTTCTAGTATAAATACCTCAGCACACACATACTGGATGGCTATATATAACTTGTTAAGATGTTCTAGTATAAATACCTCAGCACACACATACTGGAAGGCTGTATATAACTTGTTAAGATGTTCTAGTATAAATACCTCAGCACACACATACTGGATGGCTTTATATAACTTGTTAAGATGTTCTAGAATAAATACCTCAGCACACACATACTGGATGGCTATATATAACTTGTTAAGATGTTCTAGTATAAATACCTCAGCACACACATACTGGAAGGCTATATATAACTTGTTTAAATGTTCTAGTATAAATACCTCAGCACACACATACTGGGTGGCTATATATAACTTGTTAAGATGTTCTAGTATAAATACCTCAGCACACACATACTGGAAGGCTATATATAACTTGTTAAGATGTTCTAGTATAAATACCTCAGCACACACATACTGGATGGCTATATATAACTTGTTAAGATGTTCTAGTTAAATACCTCAGCACACACATACTGGAAGGCTATATATAACCTGTTTAAATGTTCTAGTATAAATACCTCAGCACACACATACTGGATGGCTTTATATAACTTGTTTAAATGTTCTAGTATAAATACCTCAGCACACACATACTGGAAGGCTATATATAACTTGTTAAAATGTTCAAGTCTAAATACCTCAGCACACACATACTGGATGGCTATATATAACTTGTTAAGATGTTCTAGTATAAATACCTCAGCACACACACACTGGAAGGCTATATATAACTTGTTAAGATGTTCAAGTCTAAATACTTCAGCACACACATACTGGAAGGCTATATATAACTTGTTAAGATGTTCTAGTATAAATACCTCAGCACATACATACTGGAAGGCTATTTATAACTTGTTAAGATGTTCTAGTATAAATACCTCAGCACACACATACTGGGTGGCTATATATAACTTGTTAAGATGTTCTAGTATAAATACCTCAGCACACACATACTGGGTGGCTATATATAACTTGTTAAGATGTTCTAGTATAAATACCTCAGCACACACATACTGGAAGGCTATATATAACTTGTTAAGATGTTCTAGTATAAATACCTCAGCACACACATACTGGAAGGCTATATATAACTTGTTAAGATGTTCTAGTATAAATACCTCAGCACACACATACTGGAAGGCTATATATAACTTGTATAAATGTTCTAGTATAAATACCTCAGCACACACATACTGGAAGGCTATATATAACTTGCTAAGATGTTCTAGTATAAATACCTCAGCACACACATACTGGAAGGCTATATATAACTTGTTAAGATGTTCCAGTTCTCTGATAATTTTCTGATATTCTAGATAGGATGACCTCTCTTCTTTTAATTTGGTCATTGTTGGTGTGATATCTTCTTTAACAACCTTTGAAATAATTCATTTTAATTACGTATACAGTTATATCATTATTAGATAAGAAAGCTCAAATTTCTTACATTATAAAAAAAAACGTAAAAGAAGAAATTTTGGACAATGCACTTTATAATGAAAGTTCCTTCCATAAATGGAAATTATATTCAAGTCAAACATCTTATAAAATGTCTTCAAATATAAATAAGAAGATGTTGTATGAGTGCTATTGAGACAACTATCCATCCAAGTCACAATGTGTAAAAAGTAAACAATTGTAGGTCAAAGTATGGCCTTCAATACTCAATTTTCTGCAACATTTAGATACATGATGTTCAATGCATTTCAACTTTATACAATGGAAAATAGATTTTCTTATTTGTAAAATTTAACACACAAGATGTGCAAAAGAGATCATTTATCATCTCCCCTGGAAGGATATATAATGTTGAATTTCTTATTATGTAAATATTTTCTTTTCAAGTTTTGCATATGAAAATTCGCCGAACTCATGGCGTTTTATCAGGATTTCTTCAAAAACTTTTCACCTCAATATCAGTTGTAACTGCTAATATGTTTCATCAAAACAGGTTGTAGATTGGATCAATCCAAACACACATTAAACAGTTCATTTGTTCATTGACAAAATCAAAATGTCAAACTATTGGTATGGTGGTATGCATAATACCAGAATCAAAGAAAACAAGATTGTGACTTAAAAAAAATCCCAACCTACTGGCTCTTTAATTTTTTAAGAAGTGATCAAAACATACATTTTTTTATAACTTTAGCTTTTTAATGTTTCTAAGTTATGGGAAATTTGTTAACCTACTGTATCATATGGTATTGGTTAACTTACTGAATCAATCTCACGAAGTTTAGCATCTTTCTTTTCTATTGTTTTTTGTGCAGCTTCTTTTTTACTTTCATATAATCTGGTTCCTGCAGCCTCTTCTATCATTGACAATATCTACAAAGATAAACACTGCTATATTCAAAATCTATACAAAGGTAAGAAGGCGATAAGGACCTAATTCAAGCTAATTTTTTACTAAGATTTAAAATCTCTTTTATGTCTGTTTTAAAGTTTGAAGTTGATTAACCTTCTTTTTTCTCATATAGCTTGGACATTGTAGTGTGAAGAAATGTGGCCATGAGCATGCTGACATCGTTTACATAGTTTTTTTTATAAAAAGAAAATTCCTCAACAAATATCAACACCATACTAACACAGGGCAGAATATGGGACAAATGATCTCAATTGTAAGGTACATTCAAATCACTGCCAACAACTAAACATAAAAAAGAAATAAAGATTGCAATGTTCCTAACTTAGTACAGAAATTTCAAATAAAATGATATAATATAGTAAAACTGAAACTTTCCCCTGGTTTTTCTTTTGTATTGTTGGGTTGATGTCTCATATTTACCTTACATCTCCTTTCATTCATAGCTTAACATACCATTTAATGTTTCTATTATAAAGACAAAATCATTTATTTGCTGTTTTTAAATAACTTTTGACAACAGTATCTGTAGCAAAATTATAGTTAAAGAAGCTACGAAAATACAAGGTCTAACAGATTTTTAAAACTCTTTTACCAGAGGATTCACCTAAAAAATCCAAGGTAAGACATCAGGCTTAAACATTCCTTATGTGTCTGTCCAAAGTCATGAGCCTGTAATTCAGTGGTTGTCGTATGTTGCTGTCTATCATATTTGTTTTTAATTCATTGTTTTATACATAAATCTGGCCATTAGTTTTCTCATTTGAAATGTTTTACATTTGTCATTTTAGGGCCTTTTATAGCAGACTATGCGGTGTGGGTTTTGCTCATTGTTGAAGGCTGTACAGTGACCTATAGTTTTTTACTCCTACATGTGTATGTCATTTGGAGAGTTGTCTCTTTGGCAATCATAACACATCTTCTTATTTTTATATTACCTCTGGAGGCTTCATGTTGAGTACTTTAGTGATCCTGCCCTGCATGATGAGGAAGTGTGGATTGTTTACATTAAGTTGGACAGATCTGAACAGATCCTGTACTCTGGTGTTGTTAGCATTACTACCATTGATTAGGTATTTGTTCCTCCCTCCAATAACCACCTGAAATAATATATGGTTAACATTATAAAGATCTGAACAGATCCTGTACTCTGTTAGCATATTACCATTGATTAGGTATTTGTTCCTTCCTCCAATTACCACATTATAAGTGTGTGAAAACCAAGGACTTCACAGAAAGCTTCCATTATTTCTATGCACTATTAAACTAATTTTCCCCCTATAATAATACCATATCTTATCTATAAACTTGCATGTACCTAATTAATAAATATTGACAGCAACCCTCCACAAACAACTGCTTAGTGTCTATACCTGTGTGGCCCTTACCAGAAGTCAGCATTTTCCCATATCCATTATTAACACAGCATTATCATTTTTACACTTTCATTTTCATTGCTATTCTACCATAAGCTTCTACATGTGAAAATTTATACTGCCAGAAGTTGTTAAAGCATAATGACACTTTGACAGGTGTCCGTAAATTCCACAGATGTATAAAATTGATTGATAATTTAATTGCAGTGAAGTGCTAACATGACTGGCCATTTACAACTGTCACTTATCTCCTTTGTACTTGCAGCTGGTGTGTCAAATTAAGTGTGTTGATAGCTTTCTGAGTTGTGCTATAATTTTACCTTGATACCCATGTGTTGATAGATATTCTGTGTTGTGCTACAATATCACTTGTGATACCCAAGTGTTGATAGCGATTCTGTTCATTAATACTACCTGTGAGTGTCTAGTAATGGTTATCTCATCACACGAGATAATTGAGTTCCAGTTCATTAATACTAACTGTCTAGTAATGGTTATCTCATCACACGAGATGATTGAGTTCCTGTTCGTTAATACTGAATACTACCTGTATAGTAATGGTTATCTCATCACAAGAGATAATTTGGTTCCTGTTCATTAATACTACCTGTCTAGTAATGGTTATCTCATCACAAGAGATGATTAAGTTCCTATTCATTAATACTACCTGTCTAGTAATGGTTATCTCATCACAAGAGATGATTGGTTCCTGTTCATTAATACTACCTGTCTAGTAATGGTTATCTCATCACAAGAGATGATTAAGCTCCTGTTCATTAATACTACCTGTCTAGTAATGGTTATCTCATTACAAGAGATGATTGAGCTCCTGTTTATTAATACTACCTGTCTAGTAATGGTTATCTCATCACAAGAGATGATTGAGTTCCTGTTTATTAATACTACCTGTCTAGTAATGGTTATCTCATCAAAAGAGATGATTAAGCTCCTGTTCATTAATACTACCTGTCTAGTAATGGTTATCTCATTACAAGAGATGATTGAGCTCCTGTTTATTAATACTACCTGTCTAGTAATGGTTATCTCATCACAAGAGATGATTGAGTTCCTGTTTATTACCTGTCTAGTAATGGTTATCTCATCACATGAGATGATTGAGCTCCTGTTTATTAATACTACCTGTCTACAATGGTTATCTCATCACAAGAGATGATTAAGTTCCTGTTCATTAATACTACCTGTCTAGTAATGGTTATCTCATTACAAGAGATGATTGAGCTCCTGTTTATTAATACTACTTGTCTAGTAATGGTTATCTCATTACAAGAGATGATTGAGCTCCTGTTTATTAATACTACCTGTCTAGTAATGGTTATCTCATCACAAGAGATGATTGAGTTCCTGTTTATTACCTGTCTAGTAATGGTTATCTCATCACAAGAGATGATTGAGCTCCTGTTTATTAATTCTACCTGTCTACAATGGTCTAGTAATGGTTATCTCATCACAAGAGATGATTGAGTTCCTGTTTATTAATACTACCTGTCTAGAAATGGTTATCTCATCACAAGAGATGATTGAGCTCCTGTTTATTAATACTACCTGTCAACAATGGTCTAGTAATGGTTATCTCATCACAAGAGATGATTGAGCGCCTGTTTATTAATACTACCTGTCTAGAAATGGTTATCTCATCACAAGAGATGATTGAGCTCCTGTTTATTAATACTACCTGTCTACAATGGTCTAGTAATGGTTATCTCATCACAAGAGATGATTAAGTTCCTGTTCATTAATACTACCTGTCTAGTAATGGTTATCTCATCACAAGAGATGATTAAGTTCCTGTTTATTAATACTACCTGTCTAGTAATGGTTATCTCATCACAAGAGATGATTGAGTTCCTGTTTATTAATACTACCTGTCTAGAAATGGTTATCTCATCACAAGAGATGATTGAGCTCCTGTTTATTAATACTACCTGTCTACAATGGTCTAGTAATGGTTATCTCATCACAAGAGATGATTAAGTTCCTGTTCATTAATACTACCTGTCTAGTTATGGTTATCTCATCACAAGAGATGATTAAGCTCCTGTTCATTAATACTACCTGTCTAGTAATGGTTTTCTCATCACACGAGATGATTAAGTTCCCATTCATTAATACTTCCTGTCTAGTAATGGTTATCTCATCACAAGAGATGATTAAGTTCCTGTTCATTAATACTACCTGTCTAGTAATGGTTATCTCATCACAAGAGATGATTGAGTTCCTGTTTATTAATACTACCTGTCTAGTAATGGTTATCTCATCACACGAGATAATTGAGTTCCTGTTTATTAATACTACCTGTCTAGTAATGGTTATCTCATCACACGAGATGATTGAGTTCCTGTTTATTAATACTACCTGTCTAGTAATGGTTATCTCATCACACGAGATAATTGAGTTCCTGTTTATTAATACTACCTGTCTAGTAATGGTTATCTCATCACAAGAGATGATTGAGCTCCTGTTTATTAATACTACCTGTCTACAATGGTCTAGTAATGGTTATCTCATCACAAGAGATGATTAAGTTCCTGTTCATTAATTCTACCTGTCTAGTAATGGTTATCTCATCACAAGAGATGATTGAGTTCCTGTTCATTCATACTACCTGTCTAGTAATGGTTATCTCATCACAAGAGATGACTGAGCTCCTGTTTATTAATACTACCTGTCTACAATGGTCTAGTAATGGTTATCTCATCACAAGAGATGATTGAGCTCCTGTTTATTAATACTACCTGTCTAGTAATGGTTATCTCATCACAAGAGATGATTGAGCTCCTGTTTATTAATACTACCTGTCTACAATGGTCTAGTAATGGTTATCTCATCACAAGAGATGATTGAGTTCCTGTTTATTAATACTACCTGTCTAGAAATTGTTATCTCATCACAAGAGATGATTGAGCTCCTGTTTATTAATACTACCTGTCTAGTAATGGTTATCTCATCACAAGAGATGATTGAGCTCCTGTTTATTAATACTACCTGTCTAGAAATGGTTATTTCATCACAAGAGATGATTGAGCTCCTGTTTATTAATACTGCCTGTCTACAATGGTCTAGTAATGGTTATCTCATCACAAGAGATGATTAAGTTCCTGTTCATTAATACTACCTGTCTAGTAATGGTTATCTCATCACACGAGATGATTGAGTTCCTGTTTATTAATACTACCTGTCTTGTAATGGTTATCTCATCACACGAGATAATTGAGTTCCTGTTTATTAATACTACCTGTCTAGTAATGGTTATCTCATCACACGAGATAATTGAGTTCCTGTTTATTAATACTACCTGTCTAGTAATGGTTATCTCATCACAAGAGATGATTGAGTTCCTGTTCATTCATACTACCTGTCTAGTAATGGTTATCTCATCACACGAGATAATTGAGTTCCTGTTTATTAATACTACCTTTCTTGTAATGGTTATCTCATCACACGAGATAATTGAGTTCCTGTTTATTAATACTACCTGTCTAGTAATGGTTATCTCATCACACGAGATAATTGAGTTCCTGTTTATTAATACTACCTGTCTAGTAATGGTTATCTCATCACACGAGATAATTGAGTTCCTGTTTATTAATACTACCTGTCTAGTAATGGTTATCTCATCACACGAGATGATTGAGTTCCTGTTTATTAATACTACCTGTCTTGTAATGGTTATCTCATCACACAAGATAATTGAGTTCCTGTTTATTAATACTACCTGTCTAGTAATGGTTATCTCATCACACGAGATAATTGAGTTCCTGTTTATTAATACTACCTGTCTAGTAATGGTTATCTCATCACAAGAGATGATTGAGTTCCTGTTCATTCATACTACCTGTCTAGTAATGGTTATCTCATCACAAGAGATGATTGAGCTCCTGTTTATTAATACTACCTGTCTACAATGGTCTAGTAATGGTTATCTCATCACAAGAGATGATTGAGTTCCTGTTTATTAATACTACCTGTCTAGAAATGGTTATCTCATCACAAGAGATGATTGAGCTCCTGTTTATTAATACTACCTGTCGAGAAATGGTTATCTCATCACAAGAGATGATTGAGTTCCTGTTTATTAATACTACCTGTCTAGAAATGGTTATCTCATTACAAGAGATGATTGAGCTCCTGTTTATTAATACTACCTGTCTAGTAATGGTTATCTCATCACAAGAGATGATTGAGCTCCTGTTTATTAATACTACCTGTCTACAATGGTCTAGTAATGGTTATCTCATCACAAGAGATGATTGAGTTCCTGTTTATTAATACTACCTGTCTAGAAATGGTTATCTCATCACAAGAGATGATTGAGCTCCTGTTTATTAATACTACCTGTCTACAATGGTCTAGAAATGGTTATCTCATCACAAGAGATGATTGAGCTCCTGTTTATTAATACTACCTGTCTAGAAATGGTTATCTCATCACAAGAGATGATTGAGCTCCTGTTTATTAATACTACCTGTCTACAATGGTCTAGTAATGGTTATCTCATCACAAGAGATGATTAAGTTCCTGTTCATTTATACTACCTGTCTAGTAATGGTCATCTCATCACACGAGATGATTGAGTTCCTGTTTATTAATACTACCTGTCTAGTAATGGTTATCTCATCACACGAGATAATTGAGTTCCTGTTTATTAATACTACCTGTCTAGTAATGGTTATCTCATCACACGAGATAATTTAATTCCTGTTTAT